TGATGCATCGCCATGGGCTGACACAGAACACGGCAGCCTTGCAGGTTGTCGACATGAAGCGAAATGGCTTGCGAGGATCATGAGCCCCCCTTACTGACATCTCAGTCAGGATGTAGCTGTGTGGCACTGCCAGTCGAGCCGAACAGATGAGTGTACGTCATCTTTGTTTCGTGTTGCTTGCTATTTGGGTATGGACAGTGAGTAAGTACAGGATATACCATGAGAAAGATAAGAGGGACCGCACTCTGAACTAGATAAGACAAGGTGGACCTCGGATATGAACGGTACAGCATATAACAGTTCAAGACAGAGGTTCTCAAAAGCCACCACGGCCCTGAATGGGACAATCATTTCGAGCCGCAGCGTAAGGTGAGCAGCTTGCAGCTGAATCCCACCCTGGAGGACTCCGCTTTTCTCCCGCTTAGAGGTGTAGTTTCCTTCTACATCTCTAGGCGGCCTGTTGAGGGTTCAGGCTTTGGGGCTTGTATCTTCTAGTGTATTATGTACTATGGTGTGATTAACTTATGTTCTACCATCTTGATGTGTCAACCTTTTGGTCTATTGTAGGTCACGTTTGCTACACAAAGCCTTTCGTCACTTGGGTGATGGTCCAAAGATGCAGCCAGAGACAGCTTCAGCCAAAACCCAGCGCTGGCCGAACTTCATTGAAGCCCTGGCTGTTCCACACCGGATGCCCGATCAATGGGCGATTCAGCAGAGAGGGTAGACGAGGACGCCAGCTGATGTGATTTTGTCGGAGTGGTGCTTGCTTTGATTCCCTACAGCAGCCCGTGAACCCTAAACACTGCACCACAAACCTCCAACCCTCAACCCTAAACCCAAAACCCAAAACCCACTCTGAGGCTCATAGCCAGAAGCTCATGGGCCCTGGTCCCCTAAACAGCCTCAACGTGCGGGATGGAGGGTTTCTAAAGCTTCAGGGTAGCTGACTCAGAGGTCCGTTTTCATCAGGATCCCCTGTTTGCTTTTGGAACTGAAAGCTTAAACCCTAAACCCGCAACCCATTTAGGCCTCTCTTCGTTTCTGAAACGACCGACGACAAAAAAGGCTCGCGACTTGGAGGCGTTGGCATCGAAAGTCTGCTGCCAAGAGGAGGCCCCGCCTACAGCCTGCAAAAGCCTGACCGGAACATGAAGTATCTGTTGTGTTCGCGGATGTGTTCATGTTTGGGAACCGGAGGAGCAGTAGTGCCTCTTCCTTCAAGAGCCATGTCGACTTGATCATGTGCAGGCTGTTCTGAATGAAAGTTCCTTGGTCACCCTCCAATGGTTTACTGGAGGAACGACAAGTGTCGCCCCGTGCTGCCGAACATATTCTCATTCTACTTTCGCAAGTAGCTGTGATATCTACATGCATATATATTTGTATATACACACATCTACATTACAGTAAGCCCAACACCCGCTTCGATGTTGTGGCAGGCTGTTGCGAGACTGCGCGCCGACGTCGACGAGCTGCAGCTACTGAACCGGAAGGTCTGATTTGGTAGGGTTTGTGCAGAGACGTCCACGGGCAAACCCAAGTAGACTTTGGTTTCGGGCAGCTACAGCTGTGTGTCTGGAGAAAGACGGTTCCTGATGACTATATTTCAGGCTCTGCTAGGGCTTGTCGGCGCCGAGTGTACTCGCGGCGCGAAATGTCCGAGGTTTAGGGTTTAGGGTTTAGTCTTCGGCTTGGGACTTTATGACCAGGATCTAAACCCTAAGCCCTAAGCCCACACATGAAAACACCTCCCAATGGAACAGCGTCATCGGCAATGCTTCTTGGGCGCTGCTTAGGGTCCAAAAGGCAGCCACATACTAAGCCTAAGCTATACTTATACATCAGGGTTTCGGGTTTGGGGTTGGGGTCTAGGGAAGAATAATCGCAGGCACCTTCGGGAATAACTTTATGAGCTATTCAGTTCAGTCTTCCGTATGAGGCTTCGGTCAGGGCCTTGGGAAGGTCCTAAACCCTAAGCCGAAGCCACAATCCCGACCCTTCAACCTCAAGGCATCCCTACTTCAAATCCCCGCAACAGTTGTTGCCACAAAACTCTTCAATTCCAAGCCCAATATACCCTTAAGCCCTGCAAGGCAACACCCCAAACCCAAACCACCAGACCGTCAACCGTAGCTCGCAAACTCGCCCTGAGCCAGGTGGCTTCCCCGAGCTCGAAGGTATCTCCTCTGGCCATGGCACGCGGGAGGCTCTGGTACTAGTGACTGATTGTTTTGTAAGGGTTGTTGTCTTGGGAGTAGAGTAGAGTATAGTATAGTCTACATAGAGACGGCTAGCCTTTGAGTGTTTCTGCGGATGAGAAGTCGTGCTATCCCATCCCGAAAGGCCGGCGTAGGACATGCGCAGCACCCATTTTGCATCCTTCCACAAGTGACGCTCTGAAACGGTGCAGGTGGACCGGAATGAGTATAAGTAGCCCCTGGGCTCAAGATTTGGTTCGAGATGAACCAGCACGAGCGCGATAAGCTATTCCTAGCCGTGCGCTATGCCGAACAGGCCGAGGCCAGGGAAGCGTTGGCGAAAGCCGACGTGTCTCTAGGTATCGATTCGGGATAATCTCTATTTCCCTTATTGTTTGTTATAGAGCCCAAATTATGAATACTAGTGTTTAATATATATATATATATACATACATATGTTTATTTATATATATATATATGTATATATATATATATAAATAAACATATATATATATTTATATATATATATATATATGTATATATATACGCGTATATATATATATATATACGCATATATATATATATATATATACGCATACATACATATATATATATATATACGCATATATATATATATATACACATATATATATATATTTATATATTTATTACATGTATATATATATATATAAGTATATATCATATATCCCTAATTATAAGTACTTTCGGGGACTGTTGAAATCGACACCTAGGAGTTGGCTGCACAGCACCCTGCAGCAGAACATGCTGTTCTTTGTGGCAGCACGGCGTCGCCGCGGCTGCGAGTTGCTGGCAAAAGACTGCATTAGGAAAGGTGTTGACCTTTCCCAGACCGATGCGCACCATCAGACACCTTTGTTTTGGGCAGCAGCCCTCGGTAACCTCGTTATGGTAAAGTTTTTTTTAAGTCTGGGCATGGAGATCAACTTCCGTGACAATCAGAAAAAGACGGCATTATTCTTTGCCATCAGCAACAATCACCTGGAAGTTGTGCGCTACTTGATTGAGCAGGGAGCCTCGCTGGACGTGGTCGCCGTTGACAGAACGACTCCGCGTAAACTGCTGAAGTCCATGAGCGTCCCAATTCCTGATCGCAAGCGGAAGCTCTGGGCACCAGACCCTAAAGCGGCATGTCCCGGAGCCTCTACAAGGAGCAGATTTGCAATTTGGGAATGGGGTCAGGAGGAGAACGAGGAGCCGGAGCCCTTGATAAGCAAGTCAACTGAACATGTCGTCGTGGAAAACACGGAGTATCTCGACAGCTCAGGTAGTAGCCGCGAAAGTTTGGGGATATATATGCGCATATATCTATCTCTCTATATAGATGTATGTATGTATTGTATATTTATGTGGATATAGAAGTGTGTATCATATGTGTATATATCTATACATATATATATATATATACAGTATATATATATATATACATATGTATAAGCATGAACATATATGTACGTATACACACACACATATATATATATATATATCTACACACACACACGTACACACACACACACATGTGGATGCGTGTGTGTACGTACACATAGTTATAAGTGTGTATATATATGTGTAACATGAGCGTGTTTGCTTAAGTTTCAATGTCTTTGGGACCTTTCGCCGGACAACTCAGATATTTCGTGACGGACTCCTTGGGCGACTGCTCCAAGCGTCTCAGAAGATCTGAGCGCGAGTTCTGTGGGGACCACGCCCACCTGCACCAACATCAGCACTGGTACAAGGAGCATGGGGTTTTGTAGAAAAATATATAGTGTTTTGTTTTAGGTTTTTGACGGAAAAACCGCTGCACTGGTACAAGGACCTACAGA